AAGAGCCAGACTGGCTCCATGGTAGAGAGCTCTAAGGAGTCGCTTGGTGCGGCAGACTTAGGGATGGTTGGCTTGCTGTGAGAAATGCGGTCAAGCCAATCCGTGTGCCAGGTCTAAGGGGTGTGTGAAGGGCTGTTCTCCCAGCCCCCCGCTCCCAAATTGTACAGTCTGCCACAACCTTCTGTGAAAGGCCACGGAGGTGTCAGGTAAAGAAGAGTTAAGGCCAGGACATAGAAAAAAGTTAAAAATTGTGGGCAATGTAAAGCTGGGCAATTCCTTTATGAATGTTGGGTTTCATACTGGTGTCAAAATTAGAAAATATGTCTTTATTGGATTGATAAGGACCAAGGAGTTTACACTTGTTAAAAAAAAAAAAAAAACTTAAATGAGCAAAGCTTTACTATATAGCTTATAAATAGTATGTTTCTTCAGCCTATAACTAGTTTCATTACAGTTAAGGTATGGGAGAATCTGTTGAAGTACAATTCAGTCTTGCTTAAACAGAACTTCTTCCTGAGCAGGGCACTGTGGTTTTAAACTTTGTAATTGAGCTCTTTACTCTTTGTTGTACTCTTTGTTGTAAAGAAAGTGCTCATAACATGTCGATAAATTAGAAGAAGCTCTCTGATCTACTCACCCTGGTCATTAAAGCAGAAATAATGGCCACGTGTTCTTCTCTGCAGAAATGTATGATTTCCTCTCCCTTGCTAAGCACTTTTCCATATTATGCTCTGATGAATTAGCATATAACGGTGTGGTGTTTTTCCAAACTGACACAATCCAGACCATCCCCTGATGAGGAGGAAGGTCTCATCTTTGCTCACAGCCTCAGTGTTTCAGTTCCTGGTCCCCTGGGCCAGTTATGTCGGGCCTGTGGCCGCACAGGAAGTCACAGTGCTTTGTGGCGGAGGACCTGGCAGACAAGAAGCAAAGAAAGAGCAAGAGTCCTGGGACCCTCGGGTCCCCCTCAAGGCCAGGCATCCAGTGGTCTAGCTTCATTCTCGTTGGCTCCACTTTCCAGTGTCCAACCACCTCCCAGGTGTCGGGTGACTTCAAGTAGTATTTAAAAAATGATTTATTGTTTTAATGAATTTAGTCATATGAATTGTGATCCCCAAACTCATTATTAGGCCTCCAAATTTAGGAGCCCTATTTAGTTTAATACTTGAAAGTTTTAATGAACCATTTATGTAACCGTATAAATACATATTCAGCACTTTCAAAAGAAGCATTGTGCCTGAGATAGATAATAATTCTGCATCTACTGATGTTAGATTTTGTAGTGAATTTCATAGTTTATTATATATTTATCCCAGCCTTGAATTTATGTCTTTGTTTTATGGAATCTAATTTAATATAAATTATTTTCTCCTCTCAGTTAAGAAGAGATTTAGCAGTTGATCAATTTTGGCTGGTTTGCTAGCTGGTTCATCATTTCTAGTACAGCATAATAGAGATGATCTACTTGGATGACTCACAAGTTCTCCCAAATTTTTTTTAAATAATGAGAGCAGAAGAAATACTACTATTGATCACATATCACAAACTTAGTATGGTAAATGATGCGCCATTCTGAGTGTCATGTACTACCTTTGGGCGGAGTCATGATTTTCATTCAATTGTAATCCTGACCATTCTGTTTTTAAAAACATCTCTCAAACCAAATTATTTTTATTAAATGTAATGATTGTATTAAGTATTTCTCCAACTAAGAGATTTTTTGCATTTCAGATGTTAATGTCATATTTTAAAGTGTTGTTTATTGAGCGTGTCAGTGCCTTTTATTGACATGAAAACCTAACATCTCAAAGTATTAAAATTTAATTATTCACTAAATTTATTAGATTTGTACTCTGATAGGGGATGAAGCATATAGTAATGGCAATAATTCCATGTGTTCTCTGAGAAACATAATTCTGATTATAAATTTATCCAAATTAAGAGCAATTACTAGATAAGTGATTTAGAGTTTTTCCTGAGAAGTGCTGAGAATTTTGAACATTGGTTTTGATGATAATGATATTTTATTAGAAATTATATCATATATCTATTTTTGGTACTAGGATTCAAACTCAGGGCCTCGTGCTAGCTAGGATGCATTATATGTGTATTATCTTAGTTCATGGTTGTATATTGAGTGATTAGTCTGTAGATTAAACTATGAAATAACTGGTTTGCTCTTAATCTGAAGTGCAAAAATAACATAAAACGTGTGCTATACTAAGATGAAAGGAATTTAGAAGAGTAATGTTATATAAATCTCATGAGATTATTGAAACACCCCAGATTAACAGTGAGTATATAGTGTTAAGTTATAGCCTCAATTTTAAAGGAACTGATTTTTCTAGAATATATCCTCTGATACAAGTGAATTTTTTAGATATTGCATTTAAATTTACTTTGCAATAACGTAGCTATATGTAGAAATTTATAGTAGATAATTAAAAATACTTAGTGTCATCACAGTAATATATTGAAGAAAGTAGCCATTCTGTTGGAAACTATACTAATTGAAATCCAACTGGCTTTGATTAAATGACTCTCTAAAACCAATTAAAATGAGAAACTGCAAACAGAATGTGTTAAACAATCTTATTATAAATCACTGATGTATGGTATCACGAAGGAAAACACTTCTGCACCATGAGAAATGGCTTCTCATCCCAACAGTGTACTCTACTAGAAATGACCAACTCTGATGATGAGTGTGGTCTCCCTAAAAAAGTGGCAACAATTCCAGATCCTTTCTCATCTATTGGTAATTCTCAATTATAGTTATAGAATAAAATACACTTACCTCATAAATTTCCAATATAGAGGTATGCAATATAAAATGTGTAAATACTGGTGATACCAATTGATTTCGAGGCACTCAAATGTTTTTAATAATCTGTTTTTTCTAATCTTTAATTTTTATTGGTATACTTTTGTAATACATAATGATTATATTCATTTTGGGCCTTTTAAAAAAATTATCTTAGTACAGGGACTACAGGGTCTCACTACACTGATGGAACTCTTGTTTTCAGCCTCCCAAGTGGTAGAATTACAGGCCTGCACCAACACACCCAGCACAGCATGCCAGGGATCAAACCCCGGTCTCTGCACCTGCCTAAGCAGGCACTTTAGTCCACTGAACTATCTGAACGGCCCTCATTTTAGGGATTGATACAGCTACCTAACATGTCTCAATTCTTTTCTTTCCTCTTTGTCCCAGTCTCCTTTTATTTTGCCAGCATTAGATTAATTTATTTACTTGTAAGTCATTCTAAAGTTAATTATCACATATACATATTAACAACACTAATAGGATAAAAAATTTAAGAAAATCATACTATATCAAAGTTAGTTTTTAGATACAGTTCATGCTGAATAACAGAAACTTGTTCTTTTTCCCCCATGATCTCTTTTGTTTTGTACCTTATTATAGTTTTTCAATTAAGAGAAACTAAGTGATATTTAATTTTATGCATCTTACTTACTTCACATTAGAATCTCAAGATGCAATCATTCTTTGAAAAAGAGAACAGTGTCTTCCTTTGTTCAGATGTCTGTACGTGACACATAGAAGGGACAGTTATCCAGGGATCTCCCCAGAATACTAAAGGCCAAAGTGGTCAGTGAAGATGCTTACCAAGTCTTTTTGTTTGTCCCTTCTAGTATCTGGTCTGGCTCTTCTTAAATATTACATAGTTCCAGCCTTGGAGCACTCGCCTTCACTGCTTCCTTTTGACCTTTCCTCTGAGATGCTCACCGCCACTTCCTCTAAGAGCCTTCTGCAGGCACCCTCCGTAAAGCCGTGGCCCTCTCCCTTTTTCTCTCTGCAACTAGATTTTCTCTCATTGTACTTTCTATCATACTAGTAACTTACTCACTAATGCTGCTGTCCACTGCAGGGTAATCTCCAACGAGAGGGTTAACTGCTGTATTCTCATGTTCAGAGTAGTGTCTTGATCAATATTTCTTGAATAAATATAAGAAAAAATTCTTGTCTTATTTTCTCTAAAATAATGAAGTACTTAACTGAGTACTGGTCAACCCACCTCAACTTGTGGTCTTTTCAATTATGAGGACAGATAATAAAACTAAAGAAGGCCTGCGTCATGAATTCCGTTGTTTCTCTACGACAGTAGAGGCCACTTTGCATTGTTTTAGTTACTAGAAACCACCTAAATGTCTTTACACAGACTTAAATAATTTATGTCTTACAACAACCCTATGAAACAGGTAATATTGTCAGCTGTGTTTTATAGTTGAATAAAAGGTAATGAATTAAATTTTGCTTTGTCACGCAGTTAATGCGCGGGAGAGTATGACTGTGGACAGCCGATGCCGGCAGTTATACTCTCAAGCACCATCTCCAGTGTTAAATCGCTGCTGCATTCTTCCTTTGAACAGTTTCATCTGGATCTTCGTCATTCCCTTTTACTTTTATAAACACTTGATCTTAACCATCCAGCAGAAAAGTATAAAAATGAAGTATAAAAAGTAAAGCCATATTAATATGCTGAACTGTAAAAGGCTCAAGTCAGCAACTTCTGACATTGCCAGTCCTGTGGATAACCCACTACTATTAGGGAGTACTCGACTATATTGGAATATTTTGCAGAATTCACACACCTAAGTATTTAAATGACAGTAGAATGCCCTTCTCTGACAAAACTAAACAAAAAAAGGGATACAAATGAATGACCATTTTGTATCTGTATACTCAAAATAGGATAGACATACAAATTCATTCTCTTAATTTGATCAATAGAGAGATTTGTTCTAATAGTGTTTGTGGATATATCCTGTCTGCATCTTGTACTATGAATAACCACTAAGACAACAATGTGCAATGTATTAATTATTGAAACTGTGCTAGTAATCGGCTTTGAAACTGTCTTATTGCTATTTGTTTCTCAATAAAATTATTAAAAAATAAATAAACACTGGAAAAATCATTTTAATTTAATAACTGATATTTTATGATCTCTTAATTCTTTCTCCTTTTGTAGTGGGATGCCATCACTGAAATGGATGAACACAACAGGCCCATTCATACATACCAGGTGTGCAATGTCATGGAACCAAACCAAAACAATTGGCTTCGTACAAACTGGATCTCTCGTGATGCAGCTCAAAAGATTTATGTGGAAATGAAGTTTACACTGCGGGATTGTAACAGCATCCCATGGGTCTTGGGAACTTGCAAAGAGACATTTAACTTGCATTATGTGGAATCAGATGAGTCCCATGGAGTTAAATTCAAGCCAAGCCAGTATACAAAGATTGACACGATTGCAGCTGATGAAAGTTTTACTCAGATGGATTTGGGTGACCGCATCCTCAAACTCAACACTGAAATTCGGGAAGTGGGCCCAATAGAAAGAAAAGGATTCTATCTCGCTTTTCAAGACATTGGAGCGTGCATTGCCCTGGTCTCAGTCCGTGTTTTCTATAAAAAATGCCCTTTCACTGTTCGAAACTTGGCCATGTTTCCTGATACTATACCAAGGGTTGATTCTTCCTCTTTGGTTGAAGTGAGGGGGTCTTGTGTGAAGAGCGCCGAGGAGCGTGACACTCCTAAATTATACTGTGGAGCTGATGGGGACTGGCTCGTTCCACTTGGAAGGTGCATCTGCAGCACAGGATACGAAGAAATTGAGGGTTCCTGTCACGGTAAGGAAGAAACATGTAATTTAAATCTTGCATATTCATTATATTTGCATAGTAAATGTGTTCCACAAGAATTTTCAAACAGGCTCAGAGTTAAGTGCCTTACAATTGATTGCAAAAGAATATTCCTATTAAATGCAAGAAGATTCCAACTTTTATTTTTTTTTTCCTATTGGGAAAAATATCTCATACTATTTTCAGTAAAGGAATGAGCCATCATAAAGTTTTGTCTTCTCCATTTTTGTGGGGAAAGCAAACAACAGTGGCCAAAAAAAAAAAAAAAAAAAAAATGGAGATTGAGAATAAGGATTTTTCTGATGTTTGTGCCTTGATGGATTAGGGACAAAGTAATCCCTTTGTTCATATTGAATTAAGAGAAGTGC